TTTTTATTAAATACATATTTTGTATTATATATTTATGTATTCATGTAAACAAAGAGGAAGTACATACAAATTAGAAAATTGAGCTTTATACTTCTTAAGCATTAGTATATATCCAACGTCCCCTTAATTAATATGATAATAATGTCAAAAATTAAACTCGATTCCTATTTAAACTTTATCTAGCTTTCTGCTTTAATTGAATAACTTCATATGATTGCTCTTTATAAGTTAGTTGTTCTTTTTTTTTTCTTCCTTGTTAAAAGTTAGGTAAAAGGTATAAATCTTCCACTGCTTCCCTCTTTTGGTTGTTTTCTTTTTGGAATAGCCACCAAATATAAAATTACCTATTCTTTTATAATTTCTACGATGCACAATTATGATCTAAATATATTAATATCTACAAAAAATGTCTATAATTCTTTTCATCAAATTTGTAGTAGTGTAATTTATCCTTTTGAATGCATTATCGCCATATCTAGTTCTCCATCGCATACGATAGAAAATTACAGAATAGTTAGATAATCCCCGGATAAGCAAATAAACCATAAATCGAAACAGAAATATATTGTAGATAAAAAAATTTCCCTGTGCACAAATGTATCCTACTTGTTAAGACAGTCAATCTTATGAAAGGCATTTTATTTTTATAATATAAATAAATACATGCTGCTGTGACATTCGGCCTACAATTTCCAATGGTGCATATTCATCCTATACAATATCTGCAAAAATCGGTGCCATTTATTACATTTAAGTTTCTTTGTCTATTCTGTTATCTTCCTATGCTACAATTGGTTTTATAACATAGTCTTAATTTATTTTATACGTCGGAGAAAGGATTAGCGAACTGTTGAAATGGGCTGTTCATAGGTAAGTGCATAGTTAATCTTTATTTTCATTTCTTTATCCAGTTAAGATGTCTTATAAAGAATACCAAATATCAGATTCGTAATTCGCATCCTATTACAGGTGCTAGAGGAATTGTAATATTATTCGTTTTATGTTTTTTTTCATAGTGTTGAAAAATTGCGCCTGTTTATTCCTATTGACAAAGTGGAGTTGTATATATTAAATTCCTATGAAGCAGTTACAAATGCATAATCTGAGGAATAAAGCCATATCTAAGATAAATTATCCCCATGCATGTGTCTACGTGAATATATATTTATGGCTTAAATTATTTGACACAATATGTTTTATAATCGAGGTAATAAGAAAAACAGTTTAATTGTGCACTTTATATTAAACCGTATGAATTCCCGTCTTAAATTTCTTGATACCGTGTTCCTATGTGAAACTATTTTCACCTTTGTTTTTTTTCCTATATTTTCTTTTTACAATCACATTATTTGATGCATTAATCTATATATCTCTATTATTTTATATAAATGCTACTCATTTCTAGTTTCATGACCTCCTTGGATTCTCTCTCAATGATGGATCAACCAATAGGGGACAGAAAAAATTTTTATTCTATTCTCAGTATATAATGGCGCAGCCTCTTATACGAAAAAGAAGAAAGCCGAAATTAGAAGTATTATGATGTAATGTGTAGCACACATTTCTATAAGTACAAATTTATAGAAAGTCACTATCATTTTTAATTAATATAGAAGCCTAGGTTCACTTATTCATTCATTCGCTTAAACCGTGGACAACAATAACATATGAGGCACTAATATAGTGAATTTGAACCCTCCTAATAATGCAATTTTAGCGAATAACCTATCTTACATGATGAATGTGCTGATATCACTATTCGTAGGTATATCCCTAAAAGCTAATTTATCTGATTACACTTATTTATTCAGTATAATTATTTATACT